GAGAATATGTCCAGCAAAACTGCTCAATCCTACCACCCACAGCATTTATTTAATACTTGTTCAGCAAAATGATTGCGGAGTGACAAGGCGCGCTAGTGACTTAAACCTACCATTGAAGTCCCGGCCCCAAAATCCACCCATGCAAGTGGGGTAATACCACCCATGAGCCACTTGAACTCCTCCCCACTGGCCGGTCAGTGCTCTTGAATTCATTGTACGAATAAAAAGTGACTCATTGGATTAGGCCTGCTCAAGGTTTATAGGTAAGGTAGTGTTTGGACTAATTTGTGTGGATTCTCTGGATGGTTGAGAGGTGTATTGAGAGCGATTGTCCATTAATAGGGGACAGTGTTACTCGAGGTTTTATGCATTGGCTATCACGTCGGAATGTGCGAATGGGTTAGGAACACATGGAACAATGTAAAATTGACTCTTGCCATTTTTCGGGTTTCTTATCAAGCATATTTGGCCATGGAGTCCGAACTTACAACTATGGAGGCTCACCAAAGTGTGGACGAAGATAATTCAATAGTGAGTTCCACGCCCTATAACCAGTAAGTAAAAAATTATGAGATTTATAGATTTGTCTTTTCGCTATTGTCTCATAAGATAAAATTATATATCTTGTAAAGAGCCAATTGAATTCTTGAATAGCTTATTTTCTACTGCACTTCAGTTTACCCCAAATATATACTCTAGAAAAAAGGATGCAAACAAATCATTGCTAGTAACAGTGTAATTGTTTAATGGTTTTGACACGGAACGCATTTTAAGGTTGTCATTTGTAACCCCTTTGCCAGGTTTTGATTGCTCTTTCTTTTCCATTGAAAATTAAAATTAAAATTCATTTTCATATATTTACATGTTTAATTGATTAAATTTTTCATAGAATTAATTTTCCACATTTTCTTGATTTTTGAATTTTGAGGAACGATTTTTCCCATGGGTTTGATGGAAAAAGCTTTTCTATGTAACTTTTTTTTTTATTTTTTTGGCAATGAAAACAAATTCTATCACTTTAACGGGCAATTTTCATGAAAAACAAAGTCAGACGAACATTAAAAGATCCAAAATTTCAATATTTTTCAAATGAAAAATTATATCAATCAAACACATTTAATCGACAATTCATAATAAAATAAGTTTTAGACAATTCAATACCCTAAAATTCATTTTCTTTTCACCCAAATTTCATTCTTACAATCAAATATACCCTTATATCATGTTTTGTAGGGCGTTTCATAAAATTATTGTAATTGAAACGAATGATATGAATTATTAGTTATGTTTCAACAAACTGTTCTAATGTTCTTAACTTCATAATTAGCCCATGTTCGACTACAATTATTTCAAAAAAATTGTTTGTTACAATAAGATTCTCCATCACACATTCATTCAATAAAATATTCTACACACACCAATAAAATTACTTTACTTTTCAACCGCACATTCTCAAAAAATACTATTCATTACTCTATTTTTCTCTCAATAATAGGATAATAGGAGACAAACACACTCTAATCTCATCTTCGTTTTGCAGATTTTAGATAATATACATCAAAATTTAATGCGAAAACACTCCGTAGACACAATAATATTGCAATATATATAGTTTTATTTAATACTTTTCACCAAAATGATTGCAAAGTGCTAGAGCGTTGCTAGTGACCTGAGCTAGATTAGTCATTCGGCCCTTAATTGAGGACTTAATCCTTCCATTTAAGGCCCGGCCTGAAAACCCATCAAGGCAGGTACTGTCATCAGTGAGGGCAGCGCTAATCCATGTCTCCACGTTACTCATGTGCCATATGAACTCCTTCCCACGGGCCGTGCCCATGCTCTTCAGCTCCTTGATCGACTTGCTTAGGCGGTCCACGTTATCACTCATCTCCTCGAAGCAGTCTTTGATGGCTGCACGTTCTCTGGGCTTAAGTCCTCTGAATTTTGTGAGTCGGGATACGAATGTTTTAGTAGATTCAGCCCGCTCGAGGCTTACGGATAAGGCCGTTTGTACCAGTTGGCGCGGGCTTCGTTGAATAGACGGTGCGTATATTGATAATGATTGGACACAGACAACGGGATACGTGGTGGCTCTGCACGAGGCTTTAATGAAATTGGTGGCCGGATCGGTGGCCGGATCGGTGGCTGCCACTTTAGCCGACTCAATCTTGGTCGGAACGAAAAAGAGCGAGACGAAAATCAGTGACAATGTAAGAGTTGCTCTTGCCATTTTTTTCTCTGTCAGACAACACAAGAATTGAAGGTTGAGAAAATGAGAATCGACAACAAATATTTATATAGAGTAATGGCATGTTACCACACATTATTGTGGGCCCCAATTCGCCAACGATGGGCCCAGCCCATCAATCATGCATTAATTTAAGGATTCTTGTTTGATAGTCATAGATTTGGAGCATCTTTTCCTTTAATATATTAAACAATTTGTAAATCTTCAACCTTTTGCCACAACACCGACTCAAACCAACCCAAATTCAAAGACTCTGCGTTTACAAATTGTTTGGGTTAGGCACACCGTCATTTAAACTAATATTGAACAGAATAATTGACAATTTTCTATGATTATGTTCAACCTTTTTGTGCCATTTTCGTAGCTAATGTGAAAGCCTTTAAACAGCAGTGGGAACCCAAAGTCTGCCCTTTCTAAAAAGCAGCGGAAAGCATAGATTTTTATTGCTTTTGTTAAGTGATTTTGGAAACAGAATAATAGGTCATAACTGCAGAGCAATAATAAAAGCGAACCTAGTCGGCTACTTGCTGTTTGTTTCACGAGGATGTGTCATGCTCCCTTCGATATTGGAGGGATATTTCTCCCAGAATCCTCACGGGTGCTGCGTTGTTGATTGACAGTTTTCTTTTCTTTCTTTTTTTTTTTCAGCCAACTGCAAATGAAAACTTGACGAGTGTACATTTGTAAAATTGCTGGCTTCAGTATATAAATTATTTCACTAAATCTGATACACTCAATTACAAATATGATGCAGGTGGTTGTGCTTCAATTAGTATAGGTTCCTGGTCCCAAGACCCCCACTTGACTCAACGACACTCGTCAGAGCCATTACTCGTTTTGTCTCCACTCTTCCATTTTAAGTGGGAAGCTTTTAATCCTTTAGGATAATATTTTCATTTTCTAGAATTTTTTTTTTCTTAAATCATTTTCAATCATACATTTTATAAAATTCACAACTTTTCTATAATACGTTTCATCATTTTTTTTTTTTAATCAAAATCTACTAAACACCTTATTTTAACCAAACCAAACAAGGACTAAACATGATTTTATTCTTCAAAAATTCACATAATAAGCTGAGTTTAGCTCCGATGAGCCAAAATCTGTTATCTCGAATTTGTTGTTATCCTAACTATCCTCGAAAACATTTTTCACACCACCACAATGTCGGAAATTTAGTTCCAGAAAATGTGAAAAACAAAACATAAGTTTTTAAAACGGAATACTTGTCTTGTGAGTAATACCATCCAGGTTGAACAATTTGAATATGCAACTTTGATTTTTTATTTTTTTATAATCTTCTCGAGTGCCCCCATACTCTTGAATTTTCTTTTTGGCTCCGTTCGATTCGTCATATTTTACATGAAAAATGAAATTAAAAAACAAAAGACATACTTAAAAACAAAAGACGTCTTACAACTGTATTGAGTGTGTGTTTGAACCACATTATTTTGGAAGAATATATTTTGAAATAGTAAATTGATGGAGAATGTGTGGTTGAAAAAGAAAGAAAAATTATTGATATGGTGGAAAATATTATTTTATTGAAAAATGTGTGGTTGAAAATGAATATAAGAATGTGAATGAAAATTTTAACGTGGCTCAAACAAGGGCTGGATAAATTAATTCCCGAGTACTAAATTAATTGTCCAAGAAGTCTTAGTCACTATTACTATCTTAGAAACTTGAAAGTTACGTCCTAAGTCCGCTAAAACATTTCCAAATATTTGATCACACTTTCAATATGTGGTCAAATTCGAAGTTCCTTTTATTTAATTTAAAATTTGGTTTCACCGACAAGCAGATTTCAATCAAAATTTGACCAAATGATATCTACAACCCTTATGATAAGTATAATTTTTACACTTATTTAGATCATCAAAAGTGGACGTTTGAAAGTGATTTTATGGAATTAATACTTAATTTGTGTGTATATTGATTGTTTAGTGGAAACTTGATGTTGGAAAGACTTTTGGAGGAGAGGAACTAAAAAAGAACAGAAGAAAATGACATAAATTGTGCATATTATGATACTATGGAAGATGGGGACCAAAGTGGCAGGACTTGGAAGAAAATGAGCTTAAATTGAAATTAGAAGGGACTTGAGATGAATGAAAAGTTGAATTGAGAGACCGAGATGAAAATGCTAAAAAGGAAGAGCCTTGCGACCGTAAGGGGATCACCCAAGCAATTACAAGGGCATGACTTGCAGAACCTGATAAAATAGGCAAATTCATACAGCAGAACGGGGAAGGTGAAGTAGAGAACTAGGGAAGGAATTCAAGGGAGGCGAACTTCATCTTCAACCTTCTCTTTGTAACTATATTTTTTGGTTGAAGAATATTCAATTATTTTTGTGTTAAAAGAGAGAAGTCGAGGATTATAATGAATTCTAATGGTGGAGTCAGATTCGTAGAATGTTTTACAGATCTCTTTCATCTCAATCTTCATTTGTATTTAGATAGTTAGTAGTGGAGTAATTAATACACTTTACATCTTACCAAAACATTAATTGTGTGTTTTATTTATTTTTAAGGAGAATGGATAGAATCGAAACGAATAAGGAATGGATATAATTATGGTCTGGATGTACCATGCGATCGAGATGTATCACGTGGCTTAGGCTATAACTCAAATAGAAACACATGTTTGCATCTACGACGACTTCAAGAAAATGGAAGTGGCCGTCTAACATCTTTTAAGATGTACAATTGCATACTACTAAGGTGGATATGTAAATATATTTCATTTCTTTAGTTATTATTATATATTATTTATTTCATTTAGTTATTATAAAAAAATTATATAAGAAATATTCATTCGTATACAATTTTAACTCCGCTTACATTTATAGTTTATCCTAAGTCTGGATAAAGGAGGAGTGTTTTTACAACTTTATAAAGCTTCTGACGAAATGTTTTTTCACATTTATCATTTCCTTACAAATTTACATTTGCATTATACTTCGACGAGTGAAAATGCAATTTTTCAGGTCAAATTCCCCAAAAAAATAAAAGAGTCGCAAGTGCAGCTCACATGGTGGGTCAAGCAAGCCCATTGGTGGGCGAGCTGTACAGCTCAACTCGACCCATTATCCTAACTTCCACTATTGAGTACCACAACATACTCCGTAGGTTTCGAGACATCAAATAACAAGTTGAAGTTTAATTTTAAACGCTTGTAGATTCGAAAATGTGCCTAAGGCTATTTCAAGACTGGAAGAACAGAATGTTAGTTCTACCTATTTGTTCGGTCAACTTGCAGCCATGAAAACCAGTGCTTTTGTCGGTAATGATTGTCTGCACTACCACCCTGCAAAGATTAATAGCACTGAAATCCTGTTAAGGCTATGTTTGGTACCAATTCTCATTTTCAACAGTAAATCAATTCTCATTTTCAACCACACATTCTTCAATAAAATAATATATTCTATCACATCAATAATCTTATCTTTTTTTTCAACCACACATTTCTCATCATATCACTATTCAAAATCAATTCTTCCCCCAAAAAATTCCTACCAAACACACACTAAGTTTCTTGGTCCTCTGTTTGAAATAATGTCACGTTGCCTTTTAAATTTCTCATTGCCTTTGTCTGTTACTAACAATGATTATGTGTCCCAACAGCTTGGAAGTGCCAGTCTTCTGGTATTAAATTCTAAGAACAGATACATCACAAAAATAAGTGTTTTTCTTTTCTTCTTTTTGTGGTGTGGGATGTGGCTTGAAAAATCGCCAGTGAAATACCCAAAGTTGGCAAGATAAGAAATTCTGAGAAAGTCAAAATTGTGCTACCATACTTTTGCTTCTGCATTCGTTTTACTGCGATGAGGCAACAGGAGATACTTCACTCTCAATAGAGACTACCCATTGCAGAATGATAGAATTCACTTCATTTGGCTGCTCATCGTGAGGGCAATGAACTGACAAAATAACACCAGAGTAAGGAAGCATATATAACATTCTGGAGAACAGAACTACAAAATCAACCATAGCAAACAAGAGCGCAATAAAATTACCAGCATCTATTTCTTTTGTTACTATTCCTCTGCAATGCTCTCTAAGCATAGCTAGCTTTGTCTTAGAATCACAAAGTGGGTCCTTCATTCCCTGTTATAAAAAAATTTACAATTCACATTTTGAAAGGATGAAATCCACACCGATAAATGCCCTTGACTGATTATAAGTGGGAGTAAAACACCTGTATTACAAGTATCTTCCCAAATTCCTTCAAAAGATAATTTAGGGGAAGCGAGAGATCAAAGCTGAAGATGCTTTCCAAAACAATAGTCACACCAGGATCATACGACTAGAACTTAGTTGAGGGTATGCATATGTAATGAGAAAAAATTGCTACAGTTAATAAAAATGTTTAGAGAGAACAAACTGCGGGACTAATTTTTTTCAAGATAGAAATAAAGAAGGATACTGCTCTAAGCATCTCGTGTATAAGCTTATCATCGGCTCGATCTGTTTTCTGCATTACATCACCTTAGGAATAAGTATGATATGATGAAAAGAAACAAAAACGAAACAGGTCAAGCCTTACAGTTGGATAAATACTCTTAAGTATATTCTTGATATTAAACCTCAAGTAGACCAAAAGTAGTCTAGCACCCAACCATGCCGCTCCTGAAGTTCGCCTATTCTGAAATATTTAAGAAGCTAAAATTATGCAAGGAAATTTTGCATTACAATAGGTGACGCAAACATTGGTTAATGGTTAGGATGCATATCTGATAGTCACAGACTTGAACAGCAGCAGACAGATCATGCAGGCAGCCTCAAATAGACACAACACCTAAACAACTAGGCAAACACATCGTGTGCACCACCACACAAGGAAACTGAGGGAGACGATGGGTTGATATAAGTTCAAGTTTTCCTTACTTTCGAGTAACGTAGAGCGGAATATCCAGGAATGATCTCTCCGGCACTGTTGATAAGGACCACAGATTTGGCTAAAGCTGGCCAAAGGCCAGCAATAATAGCAACAAAATAGCCTACAAATAAAGGACTGACCATCAAAGAGACAATCCCAAAGACATTCATTTCAAAGTAGAGTTTTTTCCCTGAGAAGTCATATTATTTATCTATTTATTTAATGTATTCCTTTTTTAGGCATACAAATAGGAATGGAGGGTCCTTTCATTACCACCAATTGAGTTCCCAACGAGGTGTACAGGCTCCCCAATAACTTCAATTATGAAATCTCTGAGAAGTTCAGCCCACAGAAGTTCAGTGTACTGTATATTGGGTTTTTCTGATTTGCCAAAGCCAAGCAACGTGATTGCCCAAACTCTATTCCCTGCTTCAGCTATGGGATTTACATTATCTCTGTAATGCTCCAAAAAAGCACCAAAACCATGTACAAGAAGTATAGGAGGACCTTCGCGACCAGCAACTGTATACTGAGAATGTGAAATCCATTCTAAAGTAATTTAGCATTAAACTTGGCAGCTAGCAAAGCAAACCTATGAATGGACACGTGGATGATGCAATTTCAAATACTAACTTGGATTATATGACCATTCCATCTCCATGTTCTAACTGAGTAATAGTCTCCCTTCCTTTTTTGGACTTTTAAAGTCAAAAGCCGATACCACTACCAAAAGAATCAGATTTGAGTCAGAAGATGCCAGTTAAACAATTTGTCATAAACCAATACAAGTACTTGAGTGAGTATGCCAGTTGAGAAAAACAACAATTCATCACAATCAATTTATGGAACGACTAGTACCTCCATGGAAGAAACAGTATCAATGGCTGCAGAAGCGGTGGTTGTTGAATATCCGAATGGTGATAAGAATCCACCATTTCTGTCTGTTTCATATTTAATAGCTTCATAATACACTCTACGCGTGGAAATAATACCAAGAAGAAGTGCAGAACCAAAAAGGGCATGAAATGAAGCTCCCTCGCGACTTTCAGCTTCACGTTGCTTGTCATGTACCCTGCAAATAAGTTGTGATATACTCTAAGCACGTAATAATATAACTTATGGAACTAATTAGTTTCCTTAAGTTTCTAATATATAATAACTTCCCAAATCTCATAGGCACAAGATAAGAAGAGCATACATGACTTGCCATAATAAACTAACAAAAGCAGTACATATTTTCAATCACTGAATCATGAATGTGGTTTTAGTGGAAACCAATAAAAGCTTTTAGAGGTTCAATTTTCCGAAATTGAAATATTAATGAAACAATGCCAAAACCCTGACCATCTGGAACTCAATTTGCTCATTTTTTATTTGCCATTTCAATATTAAAATATGAAAATAGTTTAGCAAATTCAATTTTAGCATTGACTGCTCTCACACAAAAATTTGAAAAGATAGAGTTTGCATTGGATGTATGAGTGCTGCATGAGTGAAATGTGACGAAGAAATATGAAATTCAAATGAAATTGTTTGCGGTCCTTGTACGACGGATTTCGAGTATTAAAATACAGAA